TGACGGGCGCTCCAAAGCACTCCCGTTGAAGGACGATCGAGCGAATTCACGATAGGCAAAAGGCGCTAAAAGGAGGCTGCTTTTCCGCGTTGATTTGAAGTGGCCCATCGTCCAAGTGATGACGAGAGCCCGCAGTTTATACGTAATCCATCGCGCATCTGTAGAAGACTAAACTTTTTCCGCATTCGTCTGGCAAGTAATTGTCGGCGCAGAAGGAACTGCAACTTGCTCAGCGATGAGCGCAAATCGAGCGGATGCCAATGGGAAACTTATCAGCTGCAAGAAAACCGCCTCCAGACATTTCGACCGATATTTCTGGGCCTGGCAAGCGTACATTCACAACCGCGGCCATGTTCCGCTCTGCGCAGATGCTGCACTACCTAACCGCGAAGACTGTTGGTGATGAAAAGCCATGTGCGACAGGTGGGCATCCACTCTCCCCACATTCTCCAAGTACTGAGTATGCGGGATTCACATTTTTAAATGTAGACGGTTTGCCACCTTTTCTGCCGGTCCGCATCCCCTTCTACAAGTGCAGATGCATCTAGGCGCGTAGTTGCGCCGGCGGCCTTCGCACTGAACACACGGAAGGGTTCTTGCAGAACAATGCGCCGTTTCCAATAAGTACCCCATGAATGTATCTCGATCGTTGCCATTGCTGCGCACAGCAATGACTGAGATAGGCTGCCCACGATAAACCTCCGCAACTGTGAGCCAAAGTAGGCGCATACTTCCTGGAACAAAGAGCTCCTCATCACAGTGGAAGACCTAGTTGCCAGACACTACATACGGATGGGCGAACGCGAACTGCATAGTCTTTTCATGCAGCAAGCATGCATCAAAAACAGTCTCTTCTAGTAGGGTCGTTCACTGAATTCACCTTCGCCAACGAGAACAAGGAGCAGCTGGCTATGCTGTGCACCGGCGTCCAGCCAACCTCTTTTCGCGTGATGCCAGAACTTCGCAAATTCTTCCAACTTGTGAAGGTCATTGGGCAGGGCCAGGACACTGGACGGCCATACCAGACTGAAACGACATGCTGCGCGTTAGGTATGCCCACGCTGAGCTGCTGTCCTCCCCTCACCGCCGCATGCACCTCCCCCACCGCCACCCCCGATATCGGGAAAACCACATCCATGGCTCCTGCCGTGTCCTGCACTCTAGAGGCATTGTGTTTCCCAGCCACTGGGACAGCACGTGGTGTGAGACTCCGCCCATCAAAGGCAAATGCACGTCCAAGCGCCTCATACACCCCGCCAGACAAACGTCACGCAAGCGCACCGCCATCGCATAACAAACCCTTATTTGTATTGTCTCCTGCAATATGCGCGTGTGTGTCTGAGCCGCCTGCGTTCTCTGGCGTTCCGGGTGGGGCAAGGGCTAGCGTTGGGGCTTTCCAGACGCTTAGTGCCACCAGCGTGCCCCACTGTAGCTCTTCACAAGGCTTCCGGCTCACCTTGCAACATCCGCCCAACTGCATACCCGAACTATCCGAAATAAATGCATACTTTCTGCGCCAAGCATCTTGACGGCACAGGAGAAAAAGGCGTTGCCGGCCAGCATCCACAGGCAGCTGCAATGGAACTGCATACCCCCTCGGCGCAAGTGACGGGCGCTCCAAAGCACTCCCGTTGAAGGACGATC